TTCTTTTAAATCAATTTTATCTTTAATGATTTGTTTTAATTACATGATCCTCAAATTATATAAATATGTATAGTTATTATTACAAGTTGAACTAGAAAAGAAATTACAAATATCTACAAATTTCCGTGGACGATATCTTCAAATATTATACAATTCTTGATTCACTTGTCAAATGAGATATATATTCATCACTCATTCACTTTTTTCTCTACTCTATTACTTTTTTTTTCCATGCATTATCTTTTTTGCCACAACCTTTCCCTAGTCTAGTGTCTCTATATTGATTTTTTTTTCTTACTTCTTAGATTCCTTTCTCTAACAAACAAAAGACTTGTGGTCCCATTTCCATTATTTTTTAAAATCATTTTTTTAATTCCATCTTTATGAATTTTTAAATCTTAATTTCACAACCCCTCATCTTTATCATTCTTCAAACTTTTAGATTTATTTTCTCTCCTATTGTGATTTATTAAATACTTTTATGTAAACATACTTCTTATTTTAAAGAGTACTTTTCAAAATAATTTATCGGTCTAAAAAATACTTTCAAGAATAAATATATCATTTAAAAAAAATTATTTCGAAAAGTAATTTTCACAAGAAAAGTGCAAAGAATTGAGGTATAGAGAATAATTTGAAAAAATAAAATAAAAAAGGGCATTTAAGTAATTTTATATAAAAGGAGATTTGAGGTGTATCTAATAAGTCAGGGAGGTGAAAATAACAAACACTCTTAAATTTTAAGCTAAAAAGTTTGGACAAATTGCTCAGGCCGATGGACTAGAACATCGAACCTATAAAATGTAGATTGAAAAATTATCAGGCTATTTGGTCCAATATTATTCATTATTTTATTTTTTATAAAGTTTATGTAAATACAGGAAGAACACGTGTTAATTTAGCCTGTTTGGCCATGTGGAGCCAAGAAATTTACAACGAATCAAAAATTCAAATGATTATGGCCTACTTTTCGTAACTTGATTTGTTGGGATGGGCTAACCTCTAATTATCATTTTAAAATGATTAATTTTTTTAACATAAAGGTTTAACTTTTATCAGTTCATTAATTTGAAAATCTTTATTAATATAATTTTTAAAATATTAATTAAAAAATTAAAAAACTATTTATAACCGTTAGTTTATGATTATATGATAATGTAAAATATGATGTATATTCTATCTCCTCTTAATAGAAATATGTTTTAAAAAAAATGTAAGATCAATAATTTGTTAAGAATCTTTATCATAAGTTGTAGGTTTTTTTCTATATTAAATAGTATTATTACATTTAAAATAACTAAAATATATTTTTAAATAAAATTTTAATAAATTAATCTTAAAAAGGTAATTTTAACATGTGTATATTGAGGAGATTATGAATTTGTGTTGTGTAATGATTTGACAGATCAATACACTTACTATAGTTCAATTATTACACAGTAGAAAGATTCAACAACAAACAACTATCATAGGGTTCACATGCAACAATTATCTGATGATTTAGATAATCTATACATGTATAGGACAGTAAACTCGAATCTTTCAAATCCACCTAAAAATCAAAAAACTTCCAGCATGCAACACCCTATATAACTTATATACAACATGAAAAACACAATTCTATCATCAACATCAACATGCATCCATTAGAATCAAAATCACCATGTTACACCTCAAAACACTTTAATAAACTCAACTCAGTTTCTCAACAAGAATCCATTCGACAGCTAGTAAGTAATGATTGAAAACAACCAATAAACACCAAATCCACTCATGATTCAGACACAAAGTTTCTCTTACCTTTAGTCAATCTAAATCGAGGAGAATAAAAGGATAAATAGTAAGAAGAGTTTGAACACCCACGGAAGGAGAAGAGTGAACTCCGAACACCAGCTATGCACCCTACTTACTCAGCTCTACCACCTTGAATCAGCCAAAAAGAAAAGTCCCCAGCAAAGAAGTGAGCAAAGAATGAGGGTTAGGGAATTAAAGGAAGGAAACAAATCCGTACGGGGTCTCACCAAAGCTTGAGCAACGAAGGAGGGGAAGATAAAGTTCCGAACACTCAGCTAGCACCACCTGACTTTAGCTCAGCACCTATAGCCACCAAGGATCAAAGAAAAGAAAACAAGGCAAGGAGAGAATGAGTGAATGGGGAGGAAGAAAAGAGTGGAGGGAAAGTTGAGAGGGAAGAAAATGGGTCTTACATTTAATATTAAAATTTATTAGAAAAAATATAATTAAAAATTAGAAAACTAAAACTAAATTTAATTTAGAATAAATATTTTAAGTTAATTGAATTTTATTTATCTTTCTGTATTATCTTTTTGTCTAAACCTTAATTAACTATTCTCTTAAATTTATTTTTTAAGAGGGTCAGCGCGCCCGGCGCAAGCATGCCCGCGCCCGGTGGGGACCCAGCCAGAGAGCTCAAGGCTCTCTCGCGCTTGGCGCAATAGGTAATTGCGCCAGCGCAAGCCAGTCAGAGACTCTCAGTAATTTTTCGCGCCCGGCGCACCAAACTCACGCCCAGCGCACCAAACTCACGCCCAGCGTGGGGAAGGCAGAGACCTCCCTTGGTCTCGTGCCCGGCGCAATTTGAATTGCGCCCAGCGCCTCCCATGGCAGAGACTCCAAGGAGTCCTCGCGCCCAGCGCGGCCAAAGTCGCGCTTAGCGTCATGCCAGAAACCCCAAAAATCAATCTTCAACTGACATCGCGCCCAGCGTGGCTCGACTCTCGCCCCGCGCGGGCCATCCAGAGGCTAACATCTCCAAGCCCGCCCGGCGCACACATCCTTGCGCCCGGCGGCTTGCCTAAATGCTGCCCTCAGATGACCACGCGCCCGACGCGAAGAACTACGCCCAGCGCGAGTTCAGCAGCAGACCTCATATTTTCGAAAATGCTCCAAAAATCTGCAAAATAATCAGAAAACTCCACATGCAATCGGTTTAAAATACTATATTTTCATCCCAGAGTCCAAAAACACCACCTTTACACACATGCAACAACAAAATAAGTAGATCCCCAAATTTTCTTCAAAAACCAAAAACCCCCAAAGTTCCATTTTTTTCAACCATCTCAACCCAAAATCATGAATCATCAACAATCAAAAGGAGTTCCTAGACTCAGTCCAGCCAATACACAACAAAAATCTAGCTCCGCTTACCTCGGTCTGAAAAATCTGAGCTTCCGGGGCAAAAGAGAAGAAGAGGAAGAAGAGTTTGAACACCCACGGAAGGAGAAGAGTGAACTCCGAACACCAGCTATGCACCCTACTTACTCAGCTCTACCACCTTGAATCAGCCAAAAAGAAAAGTCCCCAGCAAAGAAGTGAGCAAAGAATGAGGGTTAGGGAATTAAAGGAAGGAAACAAATCCGTACGGGGTCTCACCAAAGCTTGAGCAACGAAGGAGGGGAAGATAAAGTTCCGAACACTCAGCTAGCACCACCTGACTTTAGCTCAGCACCTATAGCCACCAAGGATCAAAGAAAAGAAAACAAGGCAAGGAGAGAATGAGTGAATGGGGAGGAAGAAAAGAGTGGAGGGAAAGTTGAGAGGGAAGAAAATGGGTCTTACATTTAATATTAAAATTTATTAGAAAAAATATAATTAAAAATTAGAAAACTAAAACTAAATTTAATTTAGAATAAATATTTTAAGTTAATTGAATTTTATTTATCTTTCTGTATTATCTTTTTGTCTAAACCTTAATTAACTATTCTCTTAAATTTATTTTTTTAAAGAGTGATTTTATCTTTGAGTGTATTCTCTTTTAAATAATTAGGCTAAATTACATATTTGATTTCCTATTATATACATTTCACAATTTTGTTCTTCTAATTTTATAAAATCTATAATTTTTATTCAACCATTAAATATTTATTCGTGAACCATTAAAAGTGTAATGTTAACCATGATAATAAATATTAAGTTGATATTTTGGCAATCAATATTTATTATTTAAATTAGATTGTACTTTTATTTCTTATTTTATTAAATACATATTAATTATCATAACATTTGTTTAATATCATGGTCAATAATAAAGTTTTAATTTAGAGGAATTTGAACTTTAAAATTAAGTTCATAATATTTTTAAGATGGATTCAAGTTATGTTTCGAGTCATCCAACCCGATTTAATAGAAATTTTGTCTTAAGAAATATAAATTTTATTAAATTATTATATATTAATTATAAAAAATTATTTAATTATTAATATTTTAATAAAATAATATTATATTTATAATAAAATTATTTATTTTAAAAATATATATTATAAAATATACCTTAATTTAAGTTTTATATTTTTTAATTTACAACTTAACTATATATAATGTTAAAATGAATATATTTCATATATTTTTTTATTTTAATTAGATCAAAATTAAATTTTATAAAATGGCTCGAATAAAAAAATCTAGTCAAATATGGACAAGAATGAACTCAATCCAATCCAAATACTTTTACTCAAACGGTATAAGCGGAAGTACGTACGCTGTATTTAACATATAAAACAAACGTTCTCCAAATACTTTTACTGAAACGGAGTACGTACGCTGTATTTAATATATATTGTCCTTTGTCCAACACTAATAAATGAAAA